CTTACCATGCTAACTCTGAGAGACGAGGCAGTCCAAGTAGCTTCAAAACAGTGCTGATTTATTCAAAGGATCACAGGTAAAATTAACATTACACGCTCAGATATCTTGCACCTCCAAACTGCACGCAGGCAGATGTAAGATGAAAGACCCTGAGCCCACCAGGCCTATACATTTTTATCACTTCGGCTGGGCTAGCCCCATACTACACAGAAACGTCAACCGAGACGTCTCTCTCACCAGCTTTGCAGCTGGCTCTAGCAATAGTCAAAACATGAAGCAAATCAACGTGTGAATGTGTATGTCTGTTGGTTAAGTGGTGTGTAACTAAAAACATAAATGTGGAATATTGCCAGTCTCATCCTTTCTATCAGTGGTGTTTTGACTTTTTGTGATGGAATTTTGGGCAAAGATGTTCCTTCTGCAACATAGCCAAGACACATTTGACTTGTTTTCTGACCTTGTACCTGGTTTTGTTGGTTTTTGGAGTGTTGTTCCACGTCAGTGTTTGATTTTTATTTATTTTCAGTCTTTTCTTCTCAACTATTTTAACAAAGAAATTCAGCAATTTCTACTCATCCTTCAGCTGTTTCAGCAATTGATTTCAGGCATTTTCAGGGTGATCCTTCAGCATCACAGCATCCACACACATTTTCGACAGGAAATGCATTTCTCTAGTTTAATTTGCAATTCCGTATACACACTTTCAACAGAAGTTCAGTCACGAAGTATCATTGCAATACGGTTAGTCAGAGTGCTAATCAAGAAAATACTACAGTGGAAACACCAAGAAAAAAAAAAAGTCGCCGCTCCTTGTTGATTTGGTAGACAATCCAACACTTTGTTATTTGTAGCATTGCTTGCCATGAGTGGAAAAAACCCTGCTAACTTCCCAAAAGGGACTAGAAGGCCATTAACTGGTACCTGTTCGAAAAAGACAACTGAACCAGCATGCCACTCAACCAACAGACACATTGATTTGCTTCATGTTTTGACTACTGCTATGACCAGCTGCAAAGCTGGTAACAGAGACGTCTCGGTTGGCGTTTCTGTGTAGTATGGGGCTAGCCCAACCGAGGGGATATAATGTATAGGCCTGGTGGGTTCAGGGTCTTTCATCTTACATCTGCCTGCGTGCAGTTTGGAGGTGCAAGATACCTGAGCGTGTAATGTTAATTTTTACCTGTGTTCATGGAATAAATCAGCACTGTTTTGAAGTTACTTGGACTGCCTCGTCTCTCAGAGTCTGTATGGTAAAAAGTACAGGGTACAACACAGGCTAAACTGGTTTAAGTTTTCTACCTGGACAAAGTTATCGTTTTTTCAACTAACTGCTGCTTTGTGTTAAAATCTTGTGCTGTACCTGGGAAAGAGCTGATTCACCAATACCAATACATGTATCACGGTAACAACAAAGGAAGTCCTTTGTTAAATCAAACCATTTAAAACTGACCATTTGATTCACAACAGATGTTTAGAAGGTCAGTTCAAATAGTGATCCCAGTTGAGGTGTAAAAGAGATCATGGAGCCAGTTTTCACACCTCGGCAGGCACCACCGATGTCCTGCAGACAGGAAGGAATACAGGTTTTAAAAATGCCTGAAGCCACATACACCGCTCCACTACTGAGGAGCCACGTTTGATCTGAGCAGACATAGTCACTGATCACTATCCTGGTAGAATGGCCACTAAAACTGAAAATGACTTATTGTTGGTATACATGTTGTTGAGCCCCGCCCAGCAGATTAGATAGAAGGTTCTGGATAAGGATTTACCTTGAACAGTGCACCAACACTGGCTGAAAGGAGAGGGCGTGAACCATCAATGATCACAGCCCAAGATGTTCTGTAACTGTCACACACAGGCTCACACTAGACAACAAGACATTTGAAGTTGTTCACCTTATGCAGTTAAACGTTTGCTTAGTTCAGTGATGTTTGTGAAGATCCTCGCACTATGAGGTAAAGTCCTTTATGCTGGCCATAGCATTTTAAACAATTACTCTTATTCAAAACAATTCCAAAACAAATAACTTTAAATTGGGGAAATTATCACTGCAGACATATTACTGCTGCATCGTTGCACACACTCCATTTTATACAGTACATGCAGTATTTCAGTCATATCATTTGTTTTAGTACTGATTCATACATTTCAAGTCTCCAATATTGTAACAAGTGATTCTGCAGATTTACAATATTCAAACAATTTTATTATGAATTCTAAACATGATCGAGCCCACTGTAGGATCTGTAGGATTATCTTAATTTCTAAAGATTAAAGTTTGAACTGTATTTCTATAAAACATTTGTGTATGTATACATGTACTGTTTATGTGATACAGCTACCGTACGTGCACACATCAGTACATGCGTATTAGACACCACCATCACCTCTGTGGGCCCAGATGGTAAGTGAACAACCCCCAGCTGCTTTGTTTATTGACTAGTGATTGAAAAGTGATTGGCTATGGAAGGTAAACACTGCAGCACTCAGATGCCCACAAGAGAAACACACATCTCTGTAAATGTACAGTCAGCATGGCGTCTATTAGAGCACACACACAGGCAAAAAACCCCAGTGTGTGTTTATGAATACAGAACAGACGAGAGCATGCGGACATGATACTGATTGTTCTCTATAATTACTGTATTTGTCAGCGTGAGCTGTTTGTGCACGCAAATAATGATCCACAGTGTTCAGATGCCACTGAGGGTTATAATGTACCAAATGCTGCTTTTAAGAAGGTACAGTCAAGCAGATTTTGATGAAAGTCTGTAGTGACCTCTGCTGGTTATATTTCAGGACAATATTCACAGCTGATTTACCAGCATCAGTGCTGGACCTCACTAATCCTGGTGTCTGAATGGGAGCAGCCAGGTTCAACCTCTGCTGGAAAGTCTGAAACCAGAAGAGCAGAGGCTCTTAGAGCACAACAATAATGAGCATGGATTTAAAAGCTCATCTTCTGAGATAATATTGTATTCGGTTTATCATTACATTAAGTTTCTTGCTGCAGAACAATTTTATAAAATTTGTTCCCCGCCGGAACATTATAGATGTGGCACGGGAGCGATGGGAAGATGGCGGCGGCCATGCTACAAATGTCATGTTTGTACCGGGGGATGCTAGCGGTTAGGGCCACCGGTATTAGGACGCTGATCCCCGGTCTGGTCCCGGTGCATTTCCGAGCCTTCTCCGTGCGGAAGGAGCCGGAGCTGGAGGCGAACCCGTATTACAGCAAGTACCAGGACAAGATCCAGAAGCTGCGCAGGTAAGTAAGCTAATTGCGAACTAGCTGCCGGCGAGACAGCGCATACTCCGCGACATCTGAACGTCCGTTAGAAAATCTCACATTTTAAAAGTCATTTACTTTGAGAGGAGTTTAAATGCTTGTTAGACTGTCGTCAAAGACTTCGTTGAAATTCTGGTAAGCAAGTTGTGTATTCGGTTTACATTTAAATCACAAAGCAGCGTATTTACGTATACGTGTTAATATTTAACGCAGACTCTTGTTTCACTATTAGAATTCAGAATCAGCTTTATTGACCAGGTGTGTCGGACACACGAGGAATTTGGCTCTGGTACAGCGGCTCAGTGTGTATGTACATGTCCTATGTTAGGCAGCAGTGGGCAAGTAAACATAAGGCTGAGAACAGAAAGTAAAGAAGTAATGTGTAAAGAAAAAGGAATGATCATTTGAAAACGAGATAAAAATAAGGTACTTATAAATAGAGACCTGTACACACATACCCACTATATATATATATATA